GGAAACGAGCGCCCTCTGTTGAATCGACCGTTACAAAAAGTGAGGAGGAATTCAAGGAGGAATGCGAGGAAGACTTCGAGGTGGAATTGGAAAGAAACCCAAAACTGTTTACACAATCCGAATTTAATGATTTGGTGCAAGATCTCGACTTATCGAAGGAGAAATCCGAATTGCTGGCATCACGCTTGAAATAACACAACATGCTGAGCAAGGAGGTCAAAATTTCTTGTCACAGGAATCGTCACAAGAAATTTGACAAATATTATTCTACAAAGGACAAAGCATGTTTTTGCCATGACGTAAACGGCTTGTTTGAAGAGTTTGGTGAGCCATATGATCCAGCTGAATGGCGTTTATTCATCGATAGCAGCAAGTTGAGCTTGAAAGCCGTTTTACTGCATCAAGGGAATGAGAAACCTTCTATTCCATAAGCTCATGCCGTTAATATGAAGGAAACGTATGAATCAATGGCTCTATTGCTCAATTTGATAAATGACAATCAACACAATTGGAAAATTTGTTCCGATCTTAAAGTGGTTGCCATGTTGACTGGATTGCAACAGGGATAGTGTTTTTTGTGTAAATGGGACATCCGAGCTCGTAAGGAACACTACGTCAGAAAAGATTGGCCAAAACGGGATAATTTCACAATTGGTAAAGACAACGTTAAAAATGATCCTCTTGTGGTAAAAGAACGCATAATACTTCCACCACTACATATAAAACTTGGGCTATTCAAAAATTTCGTGAAAGCGTTGCAAAAAGAAGGGCCGGCATTCCAGTACTTGAAATCAGTATTTCGAAATTTATCTGACGCAAAGATAAAGGAACGTGTATTTGTTGGCCCACAGATCAAAAAACTGCTCAATGATTCCGCATTCAATACAGTTTTGACACCAGATGAGGAAGAAGCGTGGAAATCGTTCCAGCGTGTTGCCACAACCTTTTTAGGAAATTTCAGAAGCCCAGATTATGAGGAATCCGTCGATGAATTGCTCAAAAATTATGAGAAAATAGGTATAAATCAAAAATATTGCGTTTGTTACATATAATTAATTTCAAAACCTTTTATTTCACTGAACACAGGTGTGAATATGTCTTTGAAGATACATTTCCTACATTCTCACATGGATTTTTTCCCGGAAAATCTTGGTGACGAGAGTGATGAGCACGGCGAACGTTTTCACCAACAAATGAAGATGATGGAACGTCGTTACCAAGGGTCTTGGGATGAAGCAATGATGGGTGACTATTGTTGGTTTCTGATTCGAGAAACAATTTTAAAACATCGAAGACAAAGTCATTCGATTCTCAATCATTTTTAATAAAACCTAAATAAATTTCTTTTGTATCAACTCGGTTTTAAATCCTGATATGCCTTAATCAAATTGATATGTAGAGAAAAGAATCACCCATGAAAACTTTACATGCGATTTGGATGCTTACAACGACACCTAGAAAAGGAACTCTAAAGCTGTTGTATTTCAGCAACATTTTTAAGTGTTTTACAAAAATGCTCATAACTTCGACAATTTCCAACCGATTTCATCCATTAAAGGCTCATTTTCTCCAGTTTTTAATGGACTTTAAGAATAAATTATGGAATGATTTTTTGAATCTTTTTATCCCATTGAAAATGTTGATTAAAACAAGATTTTAATGGAAAATTCGCAGCAAAAATAAAAAAAAATGCTGTAAATTTTTAAATGACTTCAAAATTAAATTTTTAATTAAGACATAATATTCAAGTGAACGATAGAAAATTTATTTAGCTTCATTTTCATAAAAAAAGATTTAAAATTGGTGCACTAGTTTCAAAGATATTGACATTTTAGTAATCGTACTGTTGTCCAAAATTCAAAAAATCAAAATTTTTGTATATCTCAAAAATGGCTCTACTTTAATTTTTTCTGACCACGGTATTGAATTCAGCGTAGGATTTTGAATTGGAAATGATCATCACCTTACCGAGTTCAAAAATTCTGTAAACTAGTGTTATTAATGACATACATATGCACTGAAATTGGTTTTCCCAAATGTGAGAGTTATTATCAGGATATTTAATGCAATGATGACCACCAACTGCTCAGGATGGCAGTCAGTTTTAAAATTAAAATTAGTGGAACATTAGTTGAGAGGCACTATGAACCAGACTTAATTTATTATTCATTACGCAATATTTTGTTAAAAATATGTTTTCAGCACTTTCATTTACTTATTCGCAAGAACGAGAAGTCGTTTACGAATTAGGTTTATACTAAATATTTAAATTGAAAGTATGTTGGAAAGGTTGGACGAAAATTTCATACGAAAAAGGTTTATCACATTTATTTTTATATCATGGGCAGCAAAATCTGACAATTGAAAACAAACAAGGAGCCCCACCATAAAAATAGACCAGGGCCCTCAAGGGTAGTAAATACGGTCTTGATGCTAGGGTTCATATACACATTTTTTTAAAATGTCTGTATTTACACCTAAAATAATGATTTTTTTTTAAGTATGCCATTTGTTTACCTATGATTCAAAACGGATAATGTGATTGGAATGTGATAGTTTGATAAGCTGTATCGTATTCGAGAAATCGTTTAAAACGTGCCATGTTAATTGCGACTTAGCTGCGCAAACGCAAACCCGGGTAAAAACGACGTAAAAACCCGTTTTAGAAAAGCCTTGAGTGTATAGTATTTGATTCATTGTACTGCATTTTAATTAGGCTATTCCAATAAGAAGCGTTTTGCTTAAAATGCTCAAGCTTCGAACAGATTCAACAAATTACGCTCAAAATTGTACCAATAAATTTCGAATACTTGATCAACTCGCAGCCATGATTTCAGACAATTTTACGGATATCCGAATTTCACTGAGCCTGATCAAGCATGAAATAACAACCAGGGTTGCTTCCATTCACTTCGTTATAAAGAATATTTTTCGGAATTGTGAAATCATTTGATTTTTTTTCCTTGATTTGCTACCGACGCCAGGGACACTGCAACACTCTAACGGAACTATCAACTCTATACTTTCATCTCCTCATCTATCACATAAAAATTACCACTTTAATAGTCTGTTATTTGAAATTAGCATCTTCAACTATGTAAATCGTTGACTTTACGCAGAAGTAATACAAAATAAATAGTTAAAGTAATTAAGTATGGTCCATTACAATGTTTTCTACGAAGATCGAGTAATTTTTCAGGATTTCGTAAGTATTTATTGATTCGATTCCAAAATGGGACCAGGGTAAAACCCCTGATTCATGGTGTAATATACAACAACATTGGGGTAAAACACACGAGAACGATGGACAAGACGCACCACAATATTGGGGTAAAATGCACCACTTCAAAGAGATAAACCTGCATGTAGGGAATACAACGGCATGAGGTATTTTAAATAATTATCCTTTATTTTATATTAAGCATAAGGTCTGAATAGAGTGTTAAACTGTAATTTATTAAGAACAATATTCATAATATTAAAAGAGAATTCCTTTCATACTTTCGTGACATATACTGATAGATGCTTAATTGGTGGTTGGTGGTTTCAACAGCTGTGACCTTTTTTGCACAAAATACCAATTATCACCAGAAGTAATGAGTTAATCCATTATTTCTTGACAAGGAATGATTTGTGACATCTCCAGATGAAAATAATAACAATCCATTACCTGAAAAAAGCATGTGAGGAAAAGTTATTATTATTTTACTGCAAGTGGACATTTTACCCCAGGAATGCATTATGAACTGTTCTCCCCTACTTTACTAAATTACAAGAAGAGGTTGTAAAGTATGTGTTTGACACATAAAAGTTGTGCGCACACTCTGAGTGAACACTCACTAGTGGAATAATGGCATACCAATAAACTACTAGCATTATATTAACATGTGATATATTTATCTAGTAAAAAGTACACCCCGATTTGTTTCAGTGTACTTGTAAAACCCTTAAACGGAAAATAAAAACTTTACCTAATTTATAATAATACAACAAAAAATGTTACTTCAACCGTAGTTGTTGAACCTGTGCCAAGAGCGTTGGGTCGCAAAATTTCCGTCAAAGCTATCCGTCAACGAGCAAACTCAAAAGACATGTATGACCCATGGCGTTAAGTCTGACAGGAATATCCCCTCACTTATTCGCGGTGGCTGACGACGGCGGTCAGCGTAGTCTGATGATGTTAGCTTAGCTATGTAGCGAGCAAAGCGCTGACCGACGGCATTCGCGTTAGGTTTGTTTTCGCCCTGGCATTAACCATCATGGTATTGGTGGTGGTTGGGCGGCTATTTTACCAAATCGCGTTTTTCGTGCTCATGTGGCGACATTTGATCCTAATTGGAAAGAGTTTAAAAATACAACATCCACTTCCACACCGAGTAGAAGGTACACTATAGCATCCTGTTTGTTCCATGTTTGTCGTCCGGTCTGGACGGGAAAAAAAAGGTGAAAAATCACACACCATTAATGAAGAAAAGTGCTCTATCACACGTCGCCGCCTTCGCAGCCAGCAGCATTAATTGTGTCACATACCTACTGGTATTGAGTGGTGCTATTTTTATAAAAGTGTCCTCTCTCTCTCTCTCGCCTCTCCCTGTGTTCTGCCAGCTGGTGGCAGGTGTGAAGTACTGCTTTGCTGGCCGAATGAGTGCATAAAAGCAGCATTCAAGGTATTGCTGAAGAATGAAAATTCAATCCCAACAAACAAACAAAAACGATCCACCGGAAATTTTCAAACCGGTGTTAATTGGAAAATTCGCGTGTGTTTTTTTTTCCGAATACAATATCGACAAATGAATTCCCGCATAATGGAGATGGGATTTTTCGGCGTTGAAATGTGATGATTAAAATGAAATATCTTCAACCTTTTGCACCTTCACACATGCTGTCGAACAGCCACAGGAGCGACCGAACCATAGCTGCCAATAGATTCCCAACTGTTGTGAAAAATTTAAAATTAAATTAATGATTTTCTTTTTTCCAATCTTCTGCTTGCTGTTTAGGATCGTAAAAAGATGAAAATAATCAAGTGTTTCTAGAGTGCAGAGTGTAAAAATTAAGCAGTACAGCTTCCTGCCGTAGTTGATTCACAACAGAAGAATAATAGTGTGCTAAAGTGAGGCACGCTGTGTGTAGTGTTAATTATACATAATAAATTAAAAGTGCATTTAGAGAATAGAAAGTGACGGTGACAGTCGCTTTGCCTAGACACGCGTAGCTGCAGTGCCGTCCACGGTCGGGCGGAGTTGGACGAGAAGGAGGAAGAACGCTGAATCCTAGCGAAAGCGTCGCGGCTTTGTACTAAACAGTAGATAATGACCGCTGCGGTTATGGCATCCGACGGAAGTTATGACCCAGGTGAGTGATGTGTTATTTTTGGACATTACAATCTTATTTGCTATTCGCGATGAACTTCTGAACAAACGTGGAGCACATTAGAACAAATTTCCAAGAAGCATGGTCAAGCAAAAGAATCACGTTTCGCCCAGGAAAAGCAGACCACCGTATCCGATCGACCTGGTTTCTTTATCAAAGCATCTGGCCATTAGTTACCACTGCCGTCGGAACTGAGCAAATTACTACCCATTTTCACAGGTTACAGACGGCGATAGCGAGCAGAGTGATGAACGATGTACCGTGTAGGGTTTAGATATAATGTTTGGCCTGTTAAGGACAACCCACGCTTTAGCTCTCTTTTTCGAGCGGATTTTTACACAAAATGGAATCTTAACGATGACTTCTAACTGTATTTGCCTTTCCATATGTACCGTTGTATTCGATAAAGAATCACAAATTGTTGAGATATTGTTAAAAATACAACACTGCTTCTTGATTCCAAACTCGGCCAACACCATTGGGATCACTTCATCATACGGATGAGGGCAACAACGCGATCGAAAAATGGATTCACTTGAAGCGCTACTTTTGTTTTGGATATGAAAGGGTTTACATGTTCACACTTTGTGCTCTTTACGACTTCATGTTGTAGCTTTTGAACTAAAGTATCGTACCAAATGTATAATTGCATCGTTAACGCTGAAATCATAGATTTGATGTTTTCTGATCGTTAGTCCAAAACTTGATGATTAGGCTATAATAAATGATTACCCTATGTCTCAACCGTACACACTGAATGTGGACCATTCATGCATTTCTGCAATCACAATTCTACATCCCACGGTTATACCAGCGTATTTCTAAAGATGTAAGAAATGTATTCCTCTGAAACTAGGAAAATCATTCTCAAATCTCAGTCATTCCCTCCCTCACGCTTGAGATTCTCATGTACTTTCACACACTCACACACTTACAACGCCAAAAAAAAAATAACTCCTACCCAACTATGAAGCAAATGATTTGTTGAACCAGAAAACACGTCGGTGATTTAAGCGCAGATGATTTTTTGACGTAGGACTACATCTGTGATTTCTATATGGGGGTACACTTTGTTAAAACCAAAAATGGAACACGTAACAAAATTATGAAAGATTTTGGACATTAATAACTCAGCTGCCCCAGGACCAATTTCAAAAAAATCATCATCAATCGATCAGAAATATTTCTACGCATCGATAGCAATGCTTGACTGTTGACTGTTGATGTTCAACAAGAAACTATTGAAAAAGTTGTAAATGTCAACCAAAAGCGTCGAAATAACTAATAAATCCACCAATTACGTACATGCATATGCTGCTTCCCCAACACTGTCATCAGTTAGTAGACGAAACAAGTCGAAGTATCATTCGCCTCCGATCTTCGGGCGTTTGCGAATAGGGAGGATGCAATTGCGTAACATTTTGCACACTCATCGCTATATTCAGAACCACACGCCCCCAATCACCACACAAAATGCTCTCCAGAGTTGTAATCTTGTAATCAAACTTGGAAGCATTGATAGAGTGATTTTGATCGACGTTCTGTTTCGTTAATAACTCGACGGCAAACACATTCATTGATAGGTTTGTTGTTCTGGATGATAGAAGAGCATAGCAGAAATTGTGCGAAATAGGTTAGTGAAGCCATGGTCATCAAAAGAGGAAATCGATGAAGAGAATTGACTTTCACCACGTTGTTATAGCAATGAAAACTAGCATCACACAACTTTTGGTTCATGGGTTACACTTGCTGGTTGCAATTCTGCTGTTCAACATTTTCGAAGGACCACCAAAAAAAACATGAAATTTTACTAATTTCTAGGGATGCCTAAAAGTTCAATTGTTCGATTAAAGATTAATCGTAAAGATTTTTGCTTCTTATTTCTACTCGTTTGATTTATCGCAGTAGAAAAAAATAAATAAAACTATTTATTTATATGAAAAGGCATAGAGAAGAACCATGATGTGAAGCAGGATCATAAATTCGCGAAAGTGTTAAGCGTCTTGCTGCTAAAGGCTAAGATTTACCAACTTGTTGAGAGAAGGAGTTTAACGAGAAGCACTAAAAAGGGGAGTAGCTATAGCTGGGTGGACACTGATATTCTACCGGCTGTTTCTATACAACGCATAATTTAGTGTAGAAAGGCACAGTTCATCTGTATGATAAAATACCCAAAATGAGTGGGGCATGATTTTCTAGCTTTTCAAAAATGGTTATTTTTTCATTTTCCATTGACAAGCGACAAAACCGTAAAAAGAGGAGGAACTTCAGCTGATATGCCCTTGATTGTTGCTTTCGTCCATACATAGCTGACCGAAGCTCATCCTATTTGGTGGTGTCGTTAGCATCTAGTGTTTCGTTCGATGTCCAGTGCCGTATTATTTATTGAATCGCACTCGGGTACTTGTTACCTGTAACTGTTTGTTACCTTCAGCGTGCCGCCCCTTTCTGATCACCTACCACATCTAAACCGGTTGAATCGCTGATTGAAGTTACACAAACGGCCCTTTTCAGGGCCACCAATTTCTCTTCAAGAGATAGGTTGATAGGACAGAACTACTTAGAGTTGGTCCAATGGACCAAGTAACTCGATTTACGTCAAAATATGATCGATGGTTCAGAAATTCGAAGCTAGAAACCACCTGTTTATAATGACAATACTTACTGACATTGTCAGCAAATGTGACCACAAAGGGACAAATATTTTCTACGACGACCACAAGAAAAGCAGCAGTGTAAGAGGATGCTGATCGCTATGGAATTTAGATAGATGAAGGAGCTGCAGAAGCAATCGAAGAATGAGAACCGTCAAAGAACAGTTCCAATAAACCGCTGCACGAGACCAAACCTACATTTCCCCGCACTCACTCTTCACCATAAAATTTGACATTTCTGCTGGGTTTGTTTTGCTCTTGTTCGTTACTGCACATCTATGCAACATAAGTACTCACGTAAAGAATGACGAATAAAAGTAAAAGTAAATTGAGTATAGCTTCCACGTGCAGTGGTCTACAGGTTCCAATTGAAAGTGACCATGGCTCGCCGATGTGGAATGGCGAGTTAGCCATTTTCATTTAGCCTACTGCAGTTAACAAATAACATTTTTTTTATATATAAGAGCACATAGTCCTACGTCACCATTGGGTACAACCCCATAGGGCTGTTCTTTGTAGTTTTTCAAAGGCAAAACTCGTCGGTTAATGATCTCAATCATGAGATTTAAGATTTTGAAATGCTCATGACACTACTGCGTGAGAGAGAAAATGTAATGAAAACAAAAAGTGGAAGATACTACAGCAGAGAAAGAAAATGGTTTATTCCATAACTGGATGAGTGTTTTGGTTGTTGAATGATGTTGTACATTTTCTACTCTGATTCTAAAACTGACGCTGACACACTAGTACGGCATCGCTTCATTGTAACAAATATGAAATAATACCAAATGAAGCAAATAAAAAGAATCAGACTTATAATTTTGCAGAATCCGGGCTTTTCAATTCTTGAGAATATTTGACACAAATTTTGGCTGGGATCAAGACTATTCGAATATACCAGGGCAAGAACAATGATACTCTAACGAAAATCTAACGCGCCGCCTCCTGATAATGATTCTAAATTTGTACAAATTTGAATAATAATAAATATATGACATACTACACTAAGGACAATAAATTTAAGACCTATTTCACCACCTCTGAAGTTTGAGAAAGCAAAAACGGTTGCCATTAAGGCACCGAGCACCCCATATCACTATAATCTTCTATTGCCGCTACGAACACTTTGATGAAATGATCATGAAGTCAAACGAAGTCATTCAGATGTTCTCTGAAAATATCAGTTTGATCAGGAATAGCTTTGAAGATTTTCAAACCATCAAATATTCTCTCATGTTCTTCTTCTTCTTCTTCTTCTTCTTCGCATTTCAAGCTTATTGCATATCGCATATTAGCTTATTGCGTGCTCTCAACTTAGTGTTCTAGATGCACTTCCACAGTTATTAATTGAGAGCTTTCGATGCCTGTACCATTTTTGCAATAGTATAATTGTGTGGCAAGTACAAACATATATTCCTAGACCGGACCGGGAATTGAACCCAGCCACCTCCAGCATGGTCTTGCTTTGTAGCTGCGCCTTTACCGACTGAGCTAAGGGAGGCCCAATATTCTCTCATCATATTACCTAAATTATTCTGAAGGCATTCAGATCTTTATATATTCTCTCAATATGTTGTGAAAATCAGGAATTAAGCTGAAAAAATCGAACCTTCATATGTTCTCCCACTGTAAAAGATTGATTACGAATTATTCTTAAGACCAACAACTGATGATTGATGATTTAACATGATTTAAAAAAAAAAAAGATTTCCTTTATTTAGCAGATTTTCAGCCGCAGACTGGTTCATCTTCGTACACCAACAAATGATCAAAAAGTCTTACTAAGTCTTTCAGATATCATATCCAGTTGATCAGGAATTATGCTGAAAACTTTGACTGGTCCGAAATTCAAAAAAAAAGTCCTTCCTCTCATCATAGCAGGATGATCAGCAATGGTTTTGAAAAGTTTTAGAACTTCGCATAGGGGAAATGACTCTAATGATGGCATATGGATCTAAGATTGGGCCCATCGCTAAAAATCTGCTGTTTATAAATTTTATCTAGATGAACGCGTCGGTATGGTAAAGTCTGTTCCATTTAGAATTTGACCGCACAAAATAGGTCATTTTTCCAAGGGGAATTGAAGTACAAAAACGCTAATGGTATCATTTTGTATTATTTTTATTTAGCTTTAAGAGAAAATACAACAAAATTTATTCGTCAGCTTTTCGGATGAAGTTTCGAACTTTTCTCGGAATACCTCTCAGTAGCACTGTCAACCTCATTTACCATCCTTTTCCACCACTTCTCCAAATCAGATGGTGTTTTGATTGTTTTGCCACATTTCTTCAATTTGCGCGATAATTGTCCAAAATTTTTCAATAGTAC